AAAATGGAGATATGTCAATTCTAGAGAAATAATGTTTACAAAAGTACTATGAATAATTGTATGCCAATAAATTGGATAACCTAGATGAAAATGGACAAATCCCTAGAAAGACACAGAAAAATCTGAATAGACGTATAATTAGTAGAAAGATTGAATAAAAATTGTGTTTGACAAAATTCATTCTTTCTTAATAAAAACATTATAAGTATGAATGGAAGGAAACCATCTCAATATAATAAAGGCAATATTTGAGAAGCCTAAGGCTGACATCATACTCAATAAAGACTGAAAGCTTTCCCCCTATGATCAGGAACAAGAAAAGGATGCCTGCTTTTGCCACATCTATTTAAATTGTATTAGAAATCCTAGCCAGAGAAATTAGGCAAGAAAAAAAAGACTTTCAAATTGGAAAGAAGTACAATTATCTGTCTGGTCACAGATAACTTGAACTTGTATGTAGAAAACTTTGAAGATGAAAAAACCTGTTAGAATTTATTAATAAATTCAGTAATGTTGCAGGATACAAAATCAGCACTCAAGCATCAGTTGCATTTCTATATACTGACGATGAACAATCTGAAAAGAAATTAAGAAAAAAAATTTTAATTCACATTAACATCAAAAAGAATAAAATATTAACCAAGGTGAAAAGATTATGTTCTGAAAACTAGAAAACATTGCTGAAGGAAATTAAAGATGACCTCAATAAATGGGAAGATGTTTTGTTTTTATGGATTGGAAGACTCAGTATTGTTATGAGAATAATACTACCCAGAGTGAGCTACAGATTCAACACAATTTCTATCAGAATGCCAATGACATTTTTTGCAGAAATAGAATAATCTACCCTAAAGTTCATATGGAATTTCAGGACTCAAAATAGCCAAACAAGTGTGAAAAAAATAATCTTGAAAAAATGCTGAATCCTGATTTCAGCATTTACTACAAAGTCACAATAATCAATGCAATTTGGTACTTGCATAAAGGAATACATAGAAACCAGTGGAATAGAAAAGAAAGCCCAGAAAGGAATGCTTGCATATATGGCCAAATGCTTTTTGATAAGGATGCCAAGACCATTCAATGGGGAAAGTGCAGTCTTTTCAACAGATGACTTTGGGAAACCTGGATATCCATGCAGAAGGGTGAGTTGAACCTTTGCCTGACACCATATACAAAAAATTAACCCACAGTAGATTGAAGACCAAATGTAAGAGTAAAAAACTACAAAACTCTTAGAAGAAAACACAAGGAAAAAACACTGTGACATTGGATTTCACAGTGATTTCTTGGTTATAACAACAAAAGCGTAGGCAACAAAAGAAGAATGGATAAGTTGGACTTCCTAAAAATTAGTAACTTTTATATATCAAAGAACATTATTGAGGAAGTGAAAGGGCAACCCATGAAGTGGGAAAAACATTTGCAAATCAGGTATGATAAAGGATTAATTTTCAGAATATGTGAAGAACTACTACAAATCAAGAACAGCAAAAATCCAAAAACCCAATTAAAAAAGGACAAAAGACCGAAATAGAGATTCCTCCAAGGAAGATACACAAATGGCCAATAAGCACATGCAAAGATGCTCAACATCACGAATACTTAGAGATATGCAAAACAAAACCCCAATGATAGAATACCTCAAAGACATCAGGGTGGCTTTGATTAAAACACACACACACACACACACACACACACACACACACACACACACACTCTAAGTGTTTTTAAGGAGGTGGAAAAATTGGAGCTCTAGTGCATTGCTGATGGGATTGTGAAATGTTATAGCCACCGTGGAAAATGGTGTGGCAGTTTCTCAAAAAATTAAAGAATTAATATTTGAGCCAGCAATTCCATTTCTGGGCATATATGCAAGATAATTGGAAGGAATTTGAACAGACATTTGTGCACAAATGTTCACAGCAGCATTAGCCACACAATAGCCAAAAGGTGGAAACAACTGGAGTCCACTGAAAGATAAGTGGATAGGAAAATGCGGTATATCCATACAATGGAATGTTACTCAACCTTAACAAGGAATAAAATTCTGATACATGGTGCAATATGGATGAACTTTGAAGACATTATGCTAAGTGAAATAAGCCAGACACAAAAGCACAGCTATTATATAATTCCATTTATATAAGGTTGTTAGAATAGTCAATTACATGGAGACAGAAAGTAAGTAGAATGGAGGTTACGGGGGGTTAGCGGGAGAAGCACTAAGAGTTACTGTTTATTGGGTGCAGAGGTTTAATATGGTGAGATGAAAAAGTTATGGAAATAGATAGTGGTGATGGTTACACAACAGTAAATTTCACGGATAGAAATAGTTAATGGTAAGTCTTATGTAAAAAAGAAAAAAATATATATATAGTGGCTGGTAGTCTAACCCTTTCTATAAATGCGCACTGGCACTGCCTCTTCCCTCCCATGCAGAGCCCCTGTGGGTGAATATCCCTGTCTCCAAGTGTGCATCACTCACTGTCCTCTGTGCTGTGCCCACAGCCTCATACAACTGGCAACTTCAGAGCCAGGACACAGCTCAGGAGTCTTCCCGGAGGCTCCCTGTCTTCCCATTTCCCTGCAGCCTGACCAGGGGGAGGCTTGGCTTCAACTGGCATCTTGATTTAGCCAGATTTGGGGCAGGCTACCTGGACACCTTCTCCATACAGCCAGGTCCCACCCCAGGTTGAGTCAGGGCAGGGCCTGTCACTGGGGGTGCTGGGAGCGGAGAAGGGAGCAGAGTCTGAGCTGCTTCTCCCCCATCCAAGGGACTTCCTCCTCTCATTTGGGGAACGTTGTGGGCTTGTTTCAAAGCCTTGGATGTTTCTTGCAGCTAATGGAATAGGTAAAAGAAAATAAAGGGGTAATAGAAACAGGGGTGCCACATGTTGGTGACAAAGAAAAGCAACTTGACCTTGAGCACCCTCCTTCTTCCCCCTTTGTGAAGCCTCTTCCACTACATAGGGGACTGGGGCTGACTAAGTCCCCTTTCCACATTTCTCAGGTCAGCCCCAAGGTCAGGCAGAAGCGAGTCTGTAGAGATGAATTGGGAGGGTTTAGGAGAAAAATTTGGGATTTATTGGTGCTGTTGGACAGAGGCTGGGAATAAAACTTTTTTTCTGGCTCTTCTCTGAAAGCCAGATAGACTCTACCAGTAAACACTGCCAGTGCTTCAGGGATCCACATACCAGACACTGTGATCATCTTGACTGTGGTCCTGTTGCGGCCAGTGGCTGGGTTCATGGCGTGGCAGGTGTAGGATCCACTGTTCTTCACAGTAATGTTGGGGATAAAGAGCTTTTGTTTGTTTTGCTGGAATGTGCCATTTACAGACCAAGAATACTGTGAGGCTGGATTAGAGGCTGCATGGCAGGAGAGGCTGAGATTTCCTCCTGGGTAGTAATAGGTGTTTGAAGGGGAAATGATGGGGGCATCTGGGCCATCTGGAGCAAAGAGAATAAAGTCACAGATGATGTCATCAGAGGGAAGGGGAAGCTCCTGGTCTGTGAAAGGGCCATAGTGTCCCTCTGAGACAAGTCACAACCCTGAAGTCTCAACCAACCCTCCGCTGTGTCTACTGAGATGGAGTCTGAGACAATTATCTCTTTCTGCCATCAGAAGATGTGGACCCCAAGTCTCCTGTGACAGGAGCACCCTCGCCCCTTTTATTCTTGGTCAAGGCTGGGGCTACACATGTTTGCCTGGGGCAGGAAGTCATGACCACCTGG